ACCTGCTGCCCACACATTTTGGGGCACGTTTGTCTGTGTCCTTATGATAAATCACTGGAAGTGGAAATGGCAAGGCTGGAGGGTCTGAAACATTTTCAAGGCATTTGGCAGATAAGTTGCTTTTCAGAAAGTTACCAAGTCACATTTCCAAGCTGCCCTGTGTTACAAAGGCCCACCTAACCCTGTGCTAGGGCCAGATGTGATTATTCCGTTCCTCTTTGTTAATTTGATGGTGGGTGAAAAATGTATAAATCTGTTATTGAACCATGAACTGAATCAAAGATTAAAACCTACTCATTCATGCACACCTAGTGAGCCAGCCTGAACCAGAACTGAATCTATATTTTCTAAAATGATTGAAATGTAACATCGAAATAGCCTCTGAACTGAGACTCTCCCCGTGTTTCAGTCCATTCAAATACCTAACTTCAATCCATTCCAGTACCTCATACGGGGACCACACTGGAAACCTTGACCAAGCCTCGACCTTGTTAACACCGACTATAATCCAATCAGCAGCCAAAGCCCTACGGGAGCTTTACAGGTGATGATGACAGTCCCCTTTACAGCAGCCAGGTTTAACACAAGAAATTCAGAAAACAAGAGGTGGGTTTGACACCCAAGGAGTCAGGTGGGTGGGCAGACAAAGGCCTCAGGGTTCAGGCTCTGGGATACAGCTCCTTCCCTTCCCACTCACCCCCACAATGCAGCCCTGGGGCCACATTAGGACCTGAAAGTCCCTAAGCCCTGAACCCCCACTCACCAATTTTCATTTTCCACCTGACATAACACTTCCCACGCTGGGCCCTTGTTAGCACAAGATTAAAATATGTCAAGAAGTGACAGAAAAGATATACATGTATTAAATCATTACATTGTACACCTGACACTAATATACAACAGTCTCCCCCCTTGCGAGTGGTTTGTTACCCAAGGACAACTACGGTCTGAAAATATGAAATAGAAAATTCCAGAAATAAACAATACGTAAGTTTTAAATTGTGCGCCATTTAAGTAGCAGGGTGAATTTTCTCGCCGCCTGTTCCATCCCCACCATCCCCTCCAGGTGAATCATCACATTGTTCTGCACACCCTCCACCCAGTCACTTAGCAGCCATCTTGGTTGTCAGAGGGACTCAGTCGAATTGTGTTCAAGTCACCCTTATTTTACTTAATAACAGCCACAATGGCTCTCACATAACTTTTATTACAGCCTATTGTTATCATTGTAACATTTCATTATTATTGTTGTTAGTCTCTTACTGTACCTAATTTCTAACTTAAACTTCATGTACTGCTGATATTTGTAAGAAATAAAGTGAGCCCCCAAATTCAGGGGTCCTGGTGGAACACAAAACATACTAGGGAGCCAGGCAGCAAGGCAAACATCTTTACTTCTACAGGCGAGTGCACACGCACATGGTCTGGGAGCACACTCACACTGCTCAGCTTTTTAATCCTTACCAAGGTGACCCGTCCCTTGCTCTTGATTGGAGCTCAGGTGCACAGTCTTTCGCGATTGGCTGATTTAAAGGGAGGGGTTGGCCTTTGCCATTTCAAGATGGCGGCCCCCAGGGGAGCTCCAAGTTATGCGGCCAAAATGGCGGCTGTCTAAACC